CATTTGACTTCTTTCAGGTGCCTCAGTTCAAGCAGCCCAAATTAAATGACTGTTATTTGATTTTTCTATATGGCTGTTCTTCTGCAGGTGAGAAGGGCAGGAAATACACAGGGAATTGTTAGATTTGAGGAGAAAGAGGAAGCTTGTCTCTTTCAGCATCATGAATAGGCTTTGCTTTCATGGTTTTGCTTGAGGTAGCTTGGCTTGGTGAGCTGAGGGTGAAGCTGGGAATTGGGACTTCCTTTTCTATTACCACAAAGAAGTTACTCTTTCTGAGACCTTCCTGGGTAATGCACAGTGTGACCTTACACACGTCTTCTGCAGGGCGAGGCAGAGGCTTTTGCAAATCCACAGTTGCCAACAATATTTAAGCATGTACATCATTTTAATATTTACTCTGCTACTATTTGGAGCTGCTTCATACTTCCTTTCTACCTGAAGCATGTACTTTGCACCAAAGTCGAATGTACAAAGAATTACTTGGTTCCAAGATGAGATCTATTTTCGCGGTTGTGGCAGATAAAAAGTGTGTACTGATAACTATCAAAAGCATCTATCTATAATGATATCTATCAAAAGCATTCTCCTCAGCTCTGATGCCTGTTATTTCCTTATTTGAATATAAGTAAATAAGAACTGCTTGCTTACTGGGAGACTGTTTTTCCAGTGAGACTGAAAATACGTAAGGTCGGTTCTGGGAACGTTGGTGAACATATATGTTGGATAACATTTTGGACTTCCTGATTAGGTTTGATGAACCCAGGCAGTGAGGAATGTGGGAGTTGTTTCTGTAGTGAGGTACACAAATAATTGGTTTGCCCACTGCTTGTTGAACATCAGTATCAGAACTGACAGAATGCCTCGGAACTGCCTGACCTTCTTGTGGCACGCAGCCTATTGAAAGCCAAGTTCCTTTTACTAGGGGTTGTGTTTCTGATTTAAACACGCATTAAAACAGGAAAAAAAAAAACCCAGCACAGGTATTCATTTCCCTGGGCTGTCTGGAAAGTTGGGTGTTTCCCATCAGTGATGTTCTCCTACTCTCCCTGTGTTTTGCACGCTCCTTCCCAGCCATACAGACCACTGTGAGCCTGCTGCGAGCGGGGAGCCCTCCGCCTCACAAAGAAGCACGCCAGAAACGGAAAGAACTGCGCCAGAAGCTTTTGGCTGAGCAGGAGGAATTGGAGAGGCAGATGAAGGAGCTGCAGGCGGCCAATGAGAACAAGCAGAAGGAGCTGGAGACTGTGAGAAAGGTGGGAGAGCGAGCTGCTGACCTGCACGCTTTAGGCTCAGCCTCCATAGTTTAGATGGGCTTCTGAAGTCCATTTTGCTGCTCGGGGGTTGAGGCACATTAAGCAAACTTCAGTAGAGGAGGGGAGTTTGTGCCAGCTCGAGTGCCCAGGTAATGGATTGCTGCAGCCCGCAGTAACGCCTGGCACACTGCTGCAGCCATTTCTGGGGATCTGTGGGCTCAGGGTAACCCGTGTGTTGTGGCCTCATCCTCTGTGCATGTGAACATTACTGAAGTTTGTGCGTGGCATTTGGGGGCTGGGCACTCTTGCATTTTCAATTACTTCTGGTTGGTTGTTGGTTTGGGTTTCCCCGTTGGAAATGTCTGCTGAACAGGGGGCTTCCCATTGAATTTCCCAGGCAATTTTTCTAATGCTGTGTGAACAATCTGGGGCGGAACGCTCCTCCTCACACAGACTTAATTTCTAGAGATAGAAGTTGAATTTACAAAGACTCCAAAGCTGTGAATTGATTTTGTGAATATGTGTAGGTTTAATTATATTGCAGAAGTGTTAGATTTATGGAGCTGACAAACATAACATTTATATGTTGGTTAAATGCTTGTTCCTTGTAAATGTTGGATTGTCTTTTGAAAGCCTGAGAATTGCTCTAGAAATTTCTGAGTGTTAGCACAAGGCTTTCTGAATAACTTCCTCACAGACAGCTTCTAGTCTAAATCTGGTGGCTGAAAGCACCTCTGCTATGGCTGTGCACCAATAGTGGGCTGAATGTGCTGATGGATCATTGAAACGAGGAGCGTGTGTGATAGCTCTCTGCACAGACACTGATTAGAATTCAGATATGCTTCCTATTTTTTCCTGTAAAGACTTGCAGGGGGAGCTATGATGTGTTTTATTGTCATGATGCCTTTTAAAGAGTGTGCCTTGGAATGAGGGAGAAGAGCCATTGAAGTGCTCACCAACATGTTGGCTGCTGAGTGGAGTGCCTCCTGCTGGGGCAGCCGAGATCTCTGCTCCATGCTTAGTCTGAAGAGTCTTTTGTTCACTCTTTGTAATTTGATTTTTTGCGTTCCCATTGAGGGCAGGTGTGTTCTGTTTGTTTTAAAGGAAAATCTGACAGCGGAAAACCATTTTTCTAAATTTCATTTTACCCCTGTACACCACATACATGCAATTTATAATGCCAAACGTGATTCCCAGGGTAGCCTGTGTTACAGATTTACTGGTAAGAAATGCACCTGTTAACAGAGATCATAGGGATGGATTTTTATGTGCAGTTGACTTCATGGGGAGATGATAGGGAAGGGGAAGGTGATAGGAGAGCACTCATGAGGGAGCAGCAGGATGCTGACAGGCTCCAGGATGTCTCCGAAATCACAAGGGGTAAACCAACAGGAGCCGAGGCAAAGGATCATCTTTTAAAGTGGGTGAGATTGCAGTGACTTCTCAAGGAAAAGAATTTGGTCTCTGACATAAATACTGCACTGTGGCTAAGAGGAGTTATCTGGGAGCCACTATGCTAGAAGAATTTAAACTGATTAGTTTAAAAAAAACCCAAAAAAACACAACATCAAAACTCTTCAAGAAAAAGTCTTTGTAAACGATTCAGGAAAAGGAATTGTTTTGGCAGGCTCTGAGTTTGGTTTGCTGCAGGTGGCTGAGAGCCAGCCCTACACAGCAGCTGCCAAAGTGCACGCTGAGACCAGTTTTTGTTGTGATAGCTCCTGCTCTAAAAAATAACGGAAGAATAGAGGTGCCTTTGTCTAAAATAGACCTTTTTTCAGAATGTAAAATGGAATTTTGAGATGCACACACTGAATAGACTGAGGTAAGTTTTCTTACAAGAGAGTGTGCAAAAGCCTTGTGCACCCTTTCTATTTCAGTTTAGGGTCTTGAATGGGATTCGGGGGCTGTGTTAACTCCTGCTGGAGCAGTGTGCTCTTCTTGCCCTTCCCCCTCACACTGTGGGACTTCTCCCTAAACCCCATAGCTGCTGTGATATCCAGGTAACGTTACTGGCCAGGCACCATGCAGGTTTCTGCAAGGAAAGCAGGGAGCTGCTGCTAAGAGCGGCTTGTTTGAGCTGTGGCAAAAGCCTGGCACACGTTTGCTCTCTCTGGCAATGTTTGTTTAATTAGAATGTGAGGAAGGAAACTTCACTTAAATAGCATCGTGGGTTTGACCACGATTGTAGGCTTACTGATGTTCTGACAGAGGAGGGACAAATATTCCCATAAGACTGGTGGAGTAATTTTAGCCTTTCAGAGGAGAGCTTTTCTATACTGCGCTTACGAAGAAACTGAGAGCCTTCCCTTCTGCCCATCTAAAGATGAGTGTCCCTCTCTTGCTGAAGGTCCATGGCAGTTAACTCCCCAGTCTAGCATGTTAAAAAAGGGCACTGGTTTTCAGTTCTCTCCCATGAATCAGATAAGTTTCTTTAGAAAATGCTGTGAAAGAGTTATTTTGTTTCCAGTGCTGTTAATGTTTTGACTGGTGCTTGTACATTTCCAGCCCTCCCAGCGCTCTGAAAGTAGGTGCTATTGAAGTAAGATGAAAAGAATAAATGCAATGGCAATCTTTATTTGTGAAAATAAGATGCAAAAAAAACCAAAAACAACACAACCCTGTTAAATAAGTTGCAGGAAGTTGTGAAGGTCCCAGCAGCTGTTTCTCTTGCTTGAGCTTTGACAAGGAGAGTTTTTTTTCCCCAGTGGTGATTATTGTCTATAATTCTTTCTTTTTACCTTAGATGGCAATTTATGGCATGTTAAAGGGGTGTGATTCATGATAGCACAATCACTTCTTGTTGTGGTGCTTCTGCTTTGCCATGGCAATTTAGTGCTTCCCTCTTTCTGTGTGAACTCTGCGCATGCTGGCATGTTTTCACTGCTGCTGAACTCCTGTGCAGGCCTGTCTGGAATGGGGTTTTCTGTAATAGTTTTCTGCCCCATACAAAATAGACATGGGTGTATTTCCTTCTCTGTTGGTTTGTCATGGAGATCTCAAAGGAAATGTGGAGGAGATCTGGTAGTCTTTTATTTTTTTAATAATAAATTTAAAATTGTCTCGCAGTAGTAAGACTAAAATTGATGTTTAGAGATTGAGAATAGGCTCAGGCATTAAAAAGAAACAGGAAGACAACAGCTGAAGCCTTAATGCTTTGGAAGGCTTCTTTTAAATAAATAAAATAAAAAATTAATTGAATTCCATTTCCCCCAAATGGTTTACTTTTGATAAATTATTTTTTCCTAATTTTTTCCCCTTTCAGCAACTGGAAGCAGCAGCTGCCCGTGCTGCCGAGGAGGAGAAGAAGAGGCTTCAGACCCAAGTTGAGTTACAGGATCGCTTCAGTGTGGAGCTGGAGAGAGAGAAAATGGTGAGTGGTTCCTGCAGCGAGCGGTGCCAGCTGCAACTCCAGGCTGTGGTCAGCAGCTCAGCAGTGACGGCCCTCACACGCAGTCACCAAAAGGTTTCAGCAGAACTTGCAGGAGGTTGGAGAATGCAGTCTGCTTTGCATTTATTAGAGATGTAAGGATAAAATAATTTTACAAGGGAATAAAAAACTGAAACAGCTCCACGGCTTGTGCAGCATTCAGAGCTTCAGTATTACTGGAAAATCACCAGTGGAATGAATGGTTGACAAAATAAATGCAGACTGAATTTATCCTTGTTTTTACAGGTGGACAGCCTGAGGCTGGTCCGCGTTGTGTATATATAGAAAATGAACAAAGACATAATTTAAAATGCATTTTAGGATTTTTCTGAATTTATTATATTCCCCAAACTGTTCCTTTCTTCACACTGCTGGTTCTTCTGTATTTATCCACCCACAAGCACAATGAGAGGAAGACTTGCAGCATTAAAATGCTGTTCTTATAATCCAGGACAAGGATTTCCAAAACTAATTCTTCTGTCTTCAGGGATTTAGTGAGGCATTAACAGGCTCTTCTGTCAGCTGCAGAAAAGAAATAGAAGTAGTCATGTCAGTGCAATTATGCAATAACACCTCAGGACAAATGTGTAGTGTGTGTAGTGCTGTGTTATGTGCTGAGTATGCATTGCTGGGCACCATGGCTTTCTGGGTCAGTGGGATTTAGGTTAACCCAGGGAGAGCAGCAGTGGAGCAGGACAGGCTGTTCTACCACAGGAGAAAGCAAGCTTTTCTTGCTGATGCCAGGAGCAGTGCTTCACCTTCTGTGAAGTGTTACGTGTTACAACTGCAGAGGTTTGAGTACTTTCTCTTCTCTGACTGCTGTTGTCCCCAGTAGGAGCTGAGCAGGACAGATCAGGTGCTGCAGTACCCTGCTCTGGTCAGTGCTGGGGCAAGGTGGGATGATGCTGTGGATACACAGCTTCTCCTTCACTTTTCTCTAGTTCTTACCTTCAATTTTTGGTTACAGTAATTGCTCTAAGCTAAGTCAGCCTCCCCAGATGACTTCCAAGCTTTTATCCACCCTTTACTGTTGCACACTGCAGTGCCATCATCCAGCTGCCTGAGCTGAAACAGTGTAATTAAGGTGCCCTCACCTTTGCGTCCAGGCACTCTGCAAGCTTTTCTTTCCTTCTGTTTAGTGTGTATCTGTACACTGTACACTAAGTCTCATGGTCAAACTGACTGAAGATGGACTTAAACCACTGTAAGAATCCTGTGCAGCATGTAGTGAGAAAGTGTAAATGACTGTTTCATAGCTGCAACTCTAGGCTCTCTTTGATCAGTCTTGCTCTGCAGGCTGCAGGAAAATGTCTCTCTGAAAATGCCATCTGAGAGAAACCTGGTACTTCCTTTATCTTTGGAAACCTGAATTGAATGGTAACTCACACGTGTCCTCAATTTATGCTGCTAGGTGAGGCAAAAAATGGAAGAGCAAGTCGCTCAGAAATCATCTGAACTGGAACAGTATTTACAGAGGGTACGTGAACTGGAAGAGATGTATAAGCAGCTCCAGGAAGCTTTGGAGGTTGAGAAACAGGCACGTCAGGATGAAGAGACTGTAAGGAAACTTCAAGCCAGGTATGTATTTTACCCAGTGGTGATGTTTCTGTTCCCTCTCCCCTGCGCTAATAACCAACTGTGCCATGCTTTTGAAGACTGTTTGCATCTTGCACGCTGTGCTGGGAAGGGGAAATAAAGTGCAAAGACAGGGGAGGTTTCCTTCTGTTGAGTTATAAAGGCCAAAATTGGCATTCATATTTTTTCTATATGTTTTTATTAGCCCCTAACAGGGATAGTGCTCAGTAACTTCAGAAGAGCAGGCTCACTTACTTTTCACCATGTATTGTGCCTGTCCACACTTGAAAATTGTCATCACTCTGTACAGATTTTCAGTTGTGTGTTTTATAAAGTAGCAGCTGGGAATACAGCTTGCTGTTGTATTTCAACTGGTAAAGGGTTAAATCTTCTGTTACATGTATGAGCTTCACTTTCTGTGATTTCATGGAGTTGGTCCTCTCCAGACAATTAAGATAACTCATGCGTTTGTTTCTTCTCTGGTTTTCACTGTTTTGCATTTGCATCATTGACTGAATTTTCTGAATAGCCCTTTGTAGCAGTGAGCCTCCTGCACTGCTGGAGTGACTTCAGAGCCACACTGAAGACAAGCCAAGAAGCAGTAACATTTTCTCTGCTTTCCGATATTTGACTTTATTTTTAACTAAAATTTCCAAGAAATAAAATAATTAGCTTGGCTCTCCTCTGTGTATGCTACATAGTGGCTACAACTTACTGTGAAGTGCAGCTAACGCCATAATCCCCATTGCAGATTACTGGAAGAGGAGTCAGCAAAGAGAGCTGAACTGGAAAAATGGCACTTGCAGCAGCAGCAGACCATTCAGATGACGGAAGCAGAGAAGCAGGAATTAGAAAACCAGAGAATGATAAAGGAGCAGGCTCTTCAGGTTGCTATGCAGCAACTGGAACAGCTTGAACTGGAAAGGAAAGAGGCCCTTGAGCAATATGAGGTGAGCCATTCTGTTTATCAGCCTCTCCTGTTGGCCAGGTATGCAGTGTTTCAACTGAATTTGAAGTTCCTCAATGTCATGCTTGTTTAAGGATTAGCAAAGCACAAGACTTATAAGAACAGGTTGGGTAGTTATGTGATTTCTTTTTTTTTTTTTTTGCCACAGAACAGTACATGTGTCTGAAGAAGAGGACAGGTTTAAAATATACCACTCCTTTATTCTTTTATCCGCATTCCTATGCAAGCCAGCTCAGTCATAGCCTGAAATGCTCTTGACGTGTCTGTCTGTTGCTGTATGCAGTCCCATTGCTGCCATAATCAAATGTGATGCTTTTGAATTCGTTACTCTTGATGGTGTAAATGGGACAGTGTCTTCTACAGGTGAAATACTGCTGTGCACCTGTAAGCCCTTGTTCCTTTAGAAGTACTTAAGTACTGAATTGATATTGAGGATGGCAAGGAATGAGTCGAGATCCTCTAATGTAGCGGTGCCTTGTCTCCTAAATGCCAAGCCTGTTCTCTGTTCTGCTGAGCATTTTTTGTGTAGGCCAGTAGCTGTACTTGTGGAAGAAATGTGAAGTATTTCTCAGAACCACTCAGATGTGAGTGCAGAGACCATTTCTCTGTACTTCGTAGGGCTGGAGAGGTGTCACCCCTGCCTCTGTTTAGGTCAGGAAAACAAAACAGTGAGATTTCTGCTTAACTGGGAGTATATTTATGCTGTCACTGTGTCCTTGGAGTTAAGATTCTGTGAAGGACAGACTGTACAGCTGGACTGGCACAGGATATAGTGCCACCTTACGACTCACCGTGTTGGGGCTGCATCTAACTCATCATGAGTGTTACTTTCAGGTAATACTCAGCTTTTTTGTATATGCAGTATCATTTACTGCTCTGTACTGCTGGCTGACTGTAAGAGAATTAAAAAACAAACAGTACATCTGAAGTGGTGGAGTGCAGTAGTTCACATTATTTTAGAAATAATTGATCGTGCCCACCTTCTATTTAGAATTGGCCAAAAGACCAGTTTACACAGAAAAATGTCTCTTTCTTGCTTGTGGCTATCAGCAGCAGTCTGTTCCATTTATCACATTATGATTTCTAACTGTGAGATGTATTCAGTAGCTGTTATTAGATCACAGTACTACTAAATATAGCATGACTTGTACTAAACTATACAGTTTATATATGTTTTTGATCTTCTTGAAGAGCAGCTGTAGCTACACAACTACAGGCATCTTACAGCCCTGGTTATTGCTGGATTTTGGTTTGATGACTTACTTTTACATAGCCAGTGAGTGACTAAATGAGTGAACGTGTTGATCTGAAATGGAACAGCCCTGTCCACACTGAGCAGTGGAGCCTGACAGAGCGTGGTACAGTTGTTAGATTGAAAAATGTTTTATTTTTGTATAAATACAATCAAGTTATTTTCATTTTTTAAATGGGGCTGCGTTTTATTTCAGGAGGTTAAAAAGAAGTTGGAAACGGCAGCTAATAACACCAGGAGCTGGAAAGACAAAGTAGCTCATCATGAGGGATTAATTCGACTAATAGAGCCAGGTAAATAAGATATCAACATTAAAATCACAAAAGCATTGTACTCACATGCATGCATCAACCAGCTGTGTATGCAAGGCCACCTTTTCTTGTAGCTTACTGGCTTCTCTACAGCCTATAAACACTACATTGTCAGAACTGCTGGTCACAGTAGCATCTTCTCTCTGAGTGGTGGGATGGATCTGAAGAAAGAAGTTTGCAACTCTGCACTACTTACAGTGTATTACAAAAAAGTGCTGTTAATGTAAGACTTAAAACTTGTGTGCAGTGCAGTGTAAGTAGTGAAGGATCCTGACTGATTAGACTGCTGCCTGCTGAGGATTTGGTTTTGCTTAAAATAAATTAATATTATTAAATTAGTAGGAGTAGATAAAAGCTCTTAGTTGCTTTAAAAAGGGCCATTATGAAATCCACATACCTGGAGTGCTACATTTGTGCAAAATTAAACGTAAGAACCTTTTCAAGTCTTTACCTCTCCTGGCCTTGCTGAAACTAATTGTTTTTTAGCCTTATATCAGAATACAGGGTATGGTATGATGTGATGCAATAATTGTTACATTATATTACTACTTTGCATCATAATAGTGTATTGATCTTAAGATACAACATACTGCATTATATCATACTGTCTCTAATATTTACATTATTATAGCATTGCACTGTAGTACTATATATATTTCAACCTGAACATGGCATGTTTGAGTGTTTAACACAGTCAGCCTAAATGTGGATTGCCAAAAGCACAAAGTAAAGATGCCTTCACCACTTACTGGACGTTTAGGCTGAGACTGCAGCAGCTGGGAACCTCTCCCTTGAAGCACCTTTGCTGTGTCCCAGGTGTTCCTCCTGCTGCAGTTAGGTGGCTCCTTGGGCTGCCTTTGAGATGGCTCCCAACCATGGAGCACTGACCGAATCATTCTGAGTCTGTCCTGCTGCTGTGGGAGTGGTGGTACTGTCAGAAACTCTTGTTTCAATGCACTCTGTCTTCCAGGCTCCAAGAATCCACACCTCATCACAAACTGGGGCCCGGCAGCCTTCACTGAAGCTGAACTGGAGCAAAGAGAAAAGAGCTGGAAAGGGAAAAAAGCCTCTTCTGAGTAATGAAAATAGCTGACATACTGCTTGTGAACAGAAATCCACCTTTGTTCACTCTGCTTTGCTCAGAACAGCTTACTGCTCTTTTGAAGATGCTAGTTTACTCAGCAGGAGGGTCTTTCTACAAAGGAAATACTGTTTACCATGCAGAAGTGTCTACTAAGAGCTCAGTAACGACACCACTATGTGCTGTCTGGCAGTACTTGCTGTTTTCCTTCACCTTAACAGATATTCTGTTTCTTTATGCAAGACTTTTCTACTGAAGATTTTTTATTTAAGTGTAGGCTGTGACAGGATGGTTTCTATATTAGCCTGTAACAAACAGGCAGCATCTAATCAGGCACCATCACTCATTTCAAACAGCAAGGGAAGCAATTGCTGTACTGGTTCAGTTAGTATAACGTAAACATGGGATAAGTCAATCCTGTGGACTCTGTCCAGAGCATTACTTTCCCTTCCTTTTAGTCTCTTTTTGCTTTTTCCTCTGCCTGTTGCTCTTCACGTGGCTGGCTTCATCCCTGGGTGCCCGCTTTCTCTGGTTCCTGGCTCCTCTGATCTGTGTGTCCTCTGCAGGAATGCACATAAAAGCATTGGAAACAGGCACGTACAGAATGCTGCTGTAGAACATTTAGGAAGAGCAGTCATGCAGGATCGATCTTGTCTGAGACTGGGTTAAAAAAGAATTTAACTTGGAAAACCATGTTCATGGTTTAAAAGATGCTCACTTTTGGCTTACAGATTTTTCTGGAGCGCACGAATGGAACATGATGACACACAGATGAAATATCTGCATCGAACCTACATTTATATGCAAAACATTTGTTGATGCAATGATGCAATGAACAATGCTATAGTTGTAGCGCTCCGTTTTGTCTTATTCTCTATTAGAGGCCAGATTAGAAAAATGGAAGATGAAAACTGAATTTGACATTTGATACAAGAATGATGAGTCAGTAGCAGTACTGCGACAGAAAAAAAAATTCCTGCCACTCCATTTCAGCAGTACTGGTAATGAAGATTTTTCCATTGAGTCTTAAACTTCTCTGCAGAGAACAAGAGAGGGATTTCTGTTTCTGCAGGGAAGGAACAAGTGTGTGACGTTGCCCAGTCGGTCACCCACACCAGACTGAGGTCTAACTGAAGTCACAGTTCTTGCTAAGTTCTACAGGCATTCTGAGAAGTCAGCCCTGCCTTGTGGAGAGCAGGTGCCCACTGGTGGGGTTTGTTAATCAGCTTTGCCCTTTTGCACATAGACCAAACACAGCGGTTTTTCATTCAGCTCAATGTTAAATTACCTTTAGTAAATAAGAAGTGAACATTTCAGATGGATAACCAGTGCCTTTGGACACAGCGCTGTGCTGCTCAGCTCTCAGAAGAGTAGAAGCTGTACAGACAGATCTTCAGATTCAGAACTCAATAGCATTTTCATTGCCTGTTAACAAGGACTCACTCAAACACTGAAATCTTCGCAGACATTTACTCTGATTATATTTTTGTACTAATTGAAATCTTTTTAATGTCTTGGTAAATGGAATGCTGATGAAAATGGAAGGAAAATCCAGGATTGTCCTACTTGTATTTACTGTACAGAAACGCAATAGTTTCTTAAGCTTGCTAACAAGGCAGTTTTATATTGATCTTGTTTACAGAAAAAATGTGAAAAAAAACCTGTAATGGAAATACTAATGTATACATTGTTAAACTTTGCTAGATGAAAAGGAACAGTATTTATAACTGCCCAGCACTTCTCATGGAGAGCAGAAGGTATACGTAGCTTTCTGGGGCCAAACTTGTTAATTTTTCTAACAGTCTTTATTTTGGACAAATGTTGTGGTTTTTTTTTTTTTTTTTTTTTAAGAACACCAAATGATGCCTGTTTTTTACTGTTCTTTAGAATTGGCTATTTAATAAAGTAATAAACATCAGTTACGTTGCAGAATGCAGAGCTGACTTTTTGTATGGGTTTCTTTGGGGTTGTGGGATTTCAGAAGATGATGAGGGTCAGTAAGTGCACTGTTGAGGTATTTACTCTCAGTTCATTTCCTATCTGGCTCTTAATAATAAGAAATAATAATTAAGAAATACTCTTAATGGTGTGGTCAGTGGGAGTTGGATTGAAGGTAACTTACGCGGTTTCTGAAACACAAAGTGTGCCAGATGTGAAATGAATTGATACAGACTTGCTTCTGGTGTACCACTGCATTACCACTGGCCCAGGGATGACCTACTGTTCTCATGGAGCTGCAGAATTCGTGTGCATACACTGCAGCCAAAACAGCCCTTGAACAGTGTCACATCTCATTGAGGATGAGCTTCGGTTCATCTCCTCTTGTAACTGTGACTAAGAAGAAGGTGGTGACATGCTGATCAAGTCAGTTCCATCTGCGTATAGAATCAGAATCACCAAGGTTGGAGAAAACCTTCAAGATCCTCCAGTCCAACCATCCACTCATCACCAGTATTTCTCACTAAACCATGTCCCTCAACACAAAATCCAACCATCCCTTGAACACCTCTAGAGTTGGTGACTCCACCAGCTCCCTGGGCACCCATCCCCGTGCCTGACCACTCTCTCAGAAAAGTAGTACACATCAGACATACCTGTGCTGGGCCAGTAGGAAGCTGCTTCTGTTGCCTGTGGTGCCTCTGAAGGATGTGAAGGAGGGCTTCATCCTCTCTCTGCCCAGTTCAGGTTTTCCTTCTGCTGCTGAGAGAACAAACCTGCACAGTACCATTCTTTGTTTCACCTAAGACACAATTTTTGCCCTGTAACCACTTTACGGAGCTGATTTATGAGACTGTAACAGCCTTATGCACTCATTCTCAGCTGTAACAGGCAGATTTCCAGCAACTTGGGTTACTTGAGTTGAACTTTCCAGACACAAAAGCAAAGCCTACCTGAGGAAGCAATGCAATCTCTGCATCCAGGGGAGCTGTGGAGGTGGGGAGATATAAAAAGAAAGCAAAACCAAAAAGGCATGCAAGTATTCAGTCTTGTGGTTTCTTCTGGAAGTCACCGCAGCATCTATTTCAGTAAAAGTGAACTGGAAATGTCTGCTCTGAATTTTATCTTGATTAAACAAAGCATTTTAAGTCAACATTTCTGAGCACTGGTGTGTGACCAGGATAAGAGGCACACACAGTGTGTTTCAGCCTTTTGGGACAAAGCAGCGATCTATCGCTTGTAATGTAAAGGAAAGTATGCTAAGAAGTTATCTGATAGAATGAAGGAACTCTTGCAGCACTAAGACGTTAGTTCCCCCACTCACCCATCAGTTAGGGACTTTCCAACGCTGCCTGCACTATGCCAATTACTCACTTTTTTTTTATCTTCCCAATTCAAGGACCACAAAGTTCTCCTGTCTGGCAGCCCTCTGCAGGGACCTTGGGCCCATCTCATATTTGAACTTCAGCTGCCATCTGGTGGTGGTTTGGACCTTAAGCAGCTCAGTTTCTCCAGGGAACCATGATTAACAGGGCGGTGTTACTCATGCTGAGTCTCAAGACAATGAAAAGCACCCTTCATTTCCCTTCAGCAACTCCATAGACACGTGCAAGAAAACAGAACGATGTATGAAGGGTGAGCAAACACTACACAACCTGCATTACAATCACCTTGCTGCCATCATCGCTGCAGGCTACTGTCCTCGACTTCATGAGCCACTTTGGTTCTTCAGTCATCTCAGCTCAATATACACAGTCTCAAGGCAACCACGAGCCTAGGAAAAAAGATTGTACAATAAGAGTGTTGCCATTAGCTTAGGATAAATTGAGCTTTTCTAAAGAGATAAGGCCTGGATCAAGGAAAAATGTGTAAGGAAGGTTACCTGCCTGTAAATAAGGCTTTACCAGTTGCCTTGTATACATGCCTCATTTGTCCTTCACCCTCACCCTGATCTCTCATCCCACTGAGCAGTGTTTGTTTGTTGACATGCAGGATAAAAACGCCCCAAGGCCACAAGAGTGGGCTTGAGGAAGGATGTGCAACAGTCCAGCTTACACCTATTGTCCCTTCCAGAGCAGGACACAGATTTGTCTGCTTAAATCTCAAGTGAAAAGACCACAAACCCACCTGCTGTTTGCAAGGCTGGGAGCTCCCCTCCTGGCACAGCGAGCAGACACCACACAGATAGCATATCTGAACGGCTCCTTCTACTGAGAATGTGACCACAACATGCTTCAGGAGTTACAAAAAACAGAAACAAAAACAAGAAAAACCAAACCACACCAACACCCCTACCCCTCCCCCAAAAGCCAAAGAGGTTTACAACGTTGGATTTAGATATTCTCCTGACTTCTATGACTTTTATGAACATACTCAGCAATGGCAGAGAACCAAAAATGCAGAAGAGCAATATGGATGTCAAAAGTAGGCACACTTTGAAAGAATGGCAATGGTTGTTTTAACACTTGAGAAGACCTAGAACACAGCAGCAGTTTCTCACCTCCAAAAGATACTAAACTTGGAACCATATGATATAAAACAAAAGATAAAAACATCCTGAAAAATGAAAGGGAAATGCAATGATACCTACAAGCACAATCCTGGAAAGACCCCTTGAGGAGAGACCTTCTCTCCCTTGCTTTCTCATATTCAGCCAGAGCAGGCAATGTAAAAGGATATGAGCAGATACTCTGAGAGAAAGCCCACAACTGACTGGACACAACATCAACAAAAAGACATAAAAACAAGCAAAACCAAATCAGAACAATTTTATTTGCTTTTTCCTTCTGGCCATTATTTTAAATTCATCGACAAAGAAGCCAAACAAATAACTCCCCTTTCCACTCCATTTAGCATTCTCAGTTCTCATACAGCTCTTGTGCCTGTTAGTGGAACCTTCTCTAACACCAGCTTTGCACACTTAGGAAATTAACAGGTCTGCTTCCTGCAGTTACAGCACACCACGGCCTTTTACAGGATCCAGGCCTCCCTACCTCGTGCAAGGGCCTGCCTGCTGTTATTTCTGCTGCCTGTTCTCCACACACACAAGTGACTTGCTTGTGCATCACCAACGTGTCACAGGGAGCCTATGGGGGTGCTTGCAAGCATGAGTGCAATTTGCAGAGGCTTGTGTCGGCTACTCCTACCTGCACAAGGAATCTGCAGCCTTTCATTTAACATGAGCAGCAAATCCAATTTGAACACATGCGACGGGATTAAAAGCAAGCAGAGCTGAAGCCCAGGGGGTTGCTGCCAGCCCAGGGCACAGCTCAGGCAGATGTGTGGCTGACGACCACCATCCCAAGGCCCGCAGCCCAACTCCTTCCGTGCTGCTGGTGGCCCAGTCTCACCCAATGTCATCAGGTAGCCTGCAGGGAGCCACTGCCCCCTCTGCTGATTTGTGCAGTTCTCCCCATCCCAGTGTGACTCAGCAAAAGCCTCTCCACACTGCCTCTATCACTGGCCAGGCTGCTCCCTGGTATTTGCAACCTCTGCAGAGACCCACGCTGTGCAGCACGAGTCCAAAGAGAACTCTGTCTCCATTTTCCCTCCTCACCCAACTCAGAGCAGTCACTCCCACTGCTGCCCTTACTCCCAGCTACAATCCAGCTCAGTGCACACCAGTCAGCAGGCACTGCTGCTGGCACATGTGAGGAGCTCTGCTGCTGCATACCAGCACAGTGATTTCAGCAGAGCTGCAGGGCGAGCGCTGGGCACAGGGCAGCGCACATGGAGCAGACGCTGTTCCCACGCTGGTGGTGCAGCACAGCTCCTCTGTACTCTTCAAGCTTTCTGTCCTTCCCTCACTTTTATCTCACCCCTCCTGCTCAGCCCCAGCTCCCTACATGCCGATGCAGGGTGAGAAGACTGACACAGATTTTCCAAAGCCCCCGGCTAGCTGTGGGACCCACACACAAGGCTCCGCCAGCTCCTGCCCCAGCAGGCTGGCCAGGCAGCTGCAGCCGCTCCCCCAGAGATGGGGAAAACAATAAGAAATACCAAATCTGCCGCAGGAATGCGGGAGATACCGTGGCGGGGGGCCCTGGTGAGTCTGGGCAGGATTTGCTCACGGCTTGGCCGTCGCCCAGAGGTTGCCACTCGAGCGGCCCTGTGGGCAGGCTGGGCTGGCAGGGGGATGCTTTGGGGGGCCCTGCCCTACTGCGGCCCCCGTTGGGCACTCGACGCCAGATGGCAGCCGGACACCACCACACAGGCATGCTGAAAACAGCTCCGGGAGCAAAGCGGCTCCTCTCGCGCTCCTAATTAATCACATCTGCAGATCCTGTTTTGAGAGGCAGATTCGCACAGATGCGGTGTGACACGAGTTATTTACAGCTGAGCTGGTAGCTTACTTTGAGCTGCGTCACTTGTGTACGTGCAGCTAAACACTGCTAGGGCACGAGGAAGAACCAGTCTTCCATTGCGAGGAAAGCACACGGAACAGTGAACCAAAAGCTCTGCTCAGGGTTCATGTGACTTACCTTACCTCACCGCACAATGGCAACACAAGCAAGAACCAGCAGGGCTGACCAACAAGGCTCTGGCAGCCATCTGCCCAGCGGGCTCCCGGCAGCGCCCAGCCTCACCCCTGTGCACAGCCACTGCCCTGAGTTACTCCGGTGACTGTCAGCAGGTCTGTGCTCTTGCCCTGCAAAGGCCCAGTGATTACTTTGAGAGTCAGACAGTTGCTCTGTTGGGTAACATTTTCCCTCAACGACTTACGAACTTTAATCTAATTTTGAAATGTAGAGGAGGCTAAGTTGGATTACACTGGTTTAACTGCTCGCGTCTCTCGAGCAGGGAGACTGGAGGCTTTTTTTCTGCAGAAACCTTCTGTTGGCCCCAAATCCTTGTTTTTTCTTAGTTCAGACACAAAAGAGGGGGAGGTTCAGCTTCCAAAAATAAATCAAAGACACCACGATGCCTGCAGGGTATTTGTTTCTCTGTAGGAACGCAGACCTGGTGGTTTAGTTTAAGAGAGACCAGGCTAACACTCGCATTTTCTACATTCCTTGTTTTCCTGATATATCAAGATCGACAGGTTTGAACTGTTGTTCTAATGAAAACCTACTACTCTTGAGAGGGTTTCCTGTTTTAGAAAGATGATCTCTCAGAGCTACAAAATTCCAAGCCATCTGACTTGCTATCACCTTTGTCAGGTCCTTTAACCTCCTTATGCCTCAGCTGATGAAATGTGATGGATATTTATCTATTAAAGCCTGCAAGTTTTAATAGGAAATAGCTTATCTATTCAAGTGCCTGCAAAACACTGCTGCTCCTGCAAAGAGATGCAGCAGTGTCACGGTAAACTGAAATTGTGCCTACAAGGTGCAAATTGCAGATGGCTGTGTGAACACTCAAGGGAAGGCCATTCAGATCAGAGCAACTCCGCATGAGCAGAGCCTCCTGGCACCCCATCTGCCATCCACTGGGAAACTTTCAGCCCCTCTGCCTTCATGCCTAATTCTTGGTGGCCTGAAAACCACCTATGAGCTCTTGGATTACAACCACAAATTGAAGCAGCCTTTAGATTTCTAATGACCTAGAGGAGCTAAAATCACCACGTAGCTAGCCCTAAAGTGTTAGAAAAAACATGGCAACAGTCATAAAGTCATTCTGCATTTGAGCCAAGCGCTCTTCCATCATCCCTAAATCAGGCTGCTGACTCAATCCCAGGTAAGTTCTCCCCTCCCTTGGGCACTTGGAGTTCAGGAACATCCTGGTAAACCCAAACAGGACTGACCTTGACTCTCTGGACAGTTTTCAGAGCTTAAGCTTTACAAACCAGAGCAACAAGTTTTGCAGGTGGGTGCAAATACCTTGCTGAAGGCTGAAGTACTCGTGCTCAAATTGCAAGTGCAACAGCCATCCCTGAATACGCTTTCAGTCTTGGGAACTGACCCTCAGCTCCCACTTCAGTAAATTCTGCAGTCCACGATGTCTTTTTTTCATTGTTTTTTTCCTGTCTGCTTAAAGCAATTCAGGATTTTCCAACTGTTCTAACAATTTAGAAGCTCTACTATGTAAAAACACTTTCTTGTGTTACAAAAGTTCGTCTGAATTGTAAATTGCATTACAAAGGGGACGGAGTTAGTCTCCTCATGCACTGCTTGGGCTGATCTGTTGGCAGAAAATGACCACTGGAAGCTTTGCAAGGCATGGAAAAAGACTTATCGCCCAGATACTGGAAACACAGTCAAAGCTGCCTTAGCTGGGCAAACAGGCACTGATTTCTCAGCCTAGTCTCCAGAGGTGCAGGTCTGCTGACGTCAAGGCTGTCATTATTGCAGGGCTCGCAGCCCTTGAAATGCTTTATTTGTGAGCTGTGGTCCAGCCTGCAGTATAGAATAGCTCCTCTCTAGTGCTTCTGATAGGGACAGCTGGGACACAAGAACATCGCGTGCCCTTCATGCGTTCCCACTCACCTGCTCCAGCTGTGCAGCTGAATGTTTTAGGGAATCTCTGCAATATGCTCTTTGAGAAGCCAGTTCCTCTCCTGTTTGACTCGGAAATCTTCTTGGAATATTGCTGCTTCCTGTCTGAACTCCTCTTTTAAAGCCAGGTTTTCTTCCTCCCATGCCAAACTAGTCTGTAAAAAAACAAAACAAAAAGACAGCAAAGTTCAGGAAAGCACTCATTTGTTCGGTGTGAAAAAGCTCATAGGTGCAAGAGGATGGAACGCACAGTGCTCAGGATTACGTGATCATTAACAAAACAGGAAAGCCACCAATGGTTTTCAAAGCTAGACTCTCTCCCATCATTTCTATCTGGCTATTGTGTCCTGGGAGCCTGGAAGATTCCTGTTATGAGGGAATGTTTCCAGATAATTTTTCCCCCACCCCATTGCATACATTAACATAATCTTTTCTCTCCTATGTCTTTGGAAAACAAAGCATTGCTCTTATCCCTTTATAGTTCAGGTACATTAAGTACTTTATAAGCTGTTTGCCAAGAAGTGCTCAAGGGCAGGAGTAATTGTGTTTGCTGGTGGTTTCTTTTCTTTTTGTGGGGAGGGAGGGGAAAGAAACAGACATAACAACTTGCTGGAAGCCTTGGAGCAGAGCCAGCAGCTCTGCTGACCATCCCTGCAATGGTGCATGCTGGTGGTAGGACAGCACCTCACTGCCCCACAGAGCCGCTTCCCTTTCTGGTGCAGTAGCACCAAGCTGCACGCAGTCTCATTTTCTGTTTCCCCGAGCTGCACAATGCAGACACCCCCCAAAGGTCCCAAAGTTGCAGGATAGAAAAATTCATCCTTCCTCCTGGCCCGGATCCTGAACAGACATATGCACATGCTTAGTGCTGAGCACGTGAGTAGCAATGCTGATCTCCATGGAGCAATCCACATGCTTGATGTGGGAGCAAGGGGGAGCAGGACACTGGGTTCTTCGGCTGCCTGCTTTTCATACTATGGGCAGAGATCCCACCCAGGAGAGAGCCGTGCAGCAGCACGGTGCTGAGCGATCTGCTGCTTCTATTTCCATCACCTGTGGCCTTGCTGAAACCCGCTATGAGTTATCTGGGACATGACGCCCCAGATGGGTCGAAACAACAGGTCTTGCTGCAGACTGTCTGCATTCAGTGGGATGATTTAGTTACTGCTTCCCTCCCACCCCGTCTTCTTCCTTATTCCCATTAGTGACATGTTGGCTGGAGAGAAAAGTTATTCATGCTCTAGAAATGTAATATTTACTCAAAACAATTTTTATTTGGCTTGGCTTCTTCCCAGTGCCATAAAGTGATAGCCAACCCCAAATGCTTACATAGACAACATGTGCATCTGAGTCATATTTATTATCCTAGTTATAAAAAGCACACAATCTTGTTGTTTGGTGCAATGGGATGGGACTGAAGGCATCAGCACGTCGTGAGCATAGCCTGTCTCTGGAATCTGCAGAAATTTGCCATGCTCCAAATTTAGAACTTGTGGGTGGAAGCTCAGGCAGGAGCCAACTTTTTATACCATTACATCACAGGAATTGAGGGCTTTGTGCCAAAGGATCCAAGGAAATTAATAAAGAGCAGAGTCTGTCCAGCTGTTTGAATTTAGAGTCACGGCAGAGAGGTAATTATTAATAAAAGCAGCTTCATTTGGAGCACAGTAATCTCAGTGTTTAAATTGAACATATCCCCTCCTTACTGCAGCTTACTATTCTACTGAAACTTGCAAAGATCATAGTTAGGAATTAACATCTGTAAGAGATAGGCCTGGCGAGGCTGAGATCATTCTAGATACAGGACACGCTTCAGCGACAGCTTTCCAGCTAAGTAAGGCTCAGTGAGAGTATGCATTTGCCAGTGGCATCACTGCTCTCCTGGCTGCAGGAGGTGGCTGGAACGTGGCATGCATTTTTCCAGTTCAAACACACGTCTCAAATGGACAGCGATCAAAGCGGTATCCAGCTAATTTGAAGAGCAACTCAATTTGTTTGACCTCTGTGTGCTGGGGCAGCCAGCATAAGCTCAACTGTTGCAGCCTCCTAGGAGCTGCTGGTAAAGCAGCAGGGCCTGTTCCCAAGGGAAGAATGAGCTGACCTCCAGCCCAGCTGGGAGATGCTGTGTATGCCTGCAGCCCCACACCGGGCAGAGCGCAGCTGTGGGTCAGGTCGGGGCAGCGCCGATGCTGGGAGCGGGCCACCACTTGTGCACACAGAGGCTGCACGTACTGACTACAGAGCATGGGTCTGCTAAATGCTGCTTTCTGCACCTCAAAAGCCCAGCACACATAACAGGCATCTTTCCAGCTCCTCGGGTAGCCAGCAGCACACACCTTACAGAAAGTAAAACCTGAATCTTCACATGGAACGGCATGGGGTTGACGTGCTGCGACTCTGCATGCCAATGACTGAACTCAGCAGTGCCACCAAACATAACCAGGAGAATACAACACCATCTTCAGAAAAGGGGCTCCTCTGATGTTTAAATCACAGAAATGATGGTATGCAGCTTCAAAGCTCATCTTTTGCTCCAGGGCGCATAAGAGCTATGAGTAATTGAACATTTAGCTCTGGGTAACCTGGGAATCTCCCTGTTTCTGTGCTACAGATAAATCGAGGCAGGAAGCAACTACGCATTTCTTCACAAGAGTGAGAAACAGCAAATCAAACAATAAATACTGGAAGAGATGCTCCTGCCCATACAGATACCACGTGATGCTTGCACACACACTGCCCGCAGCAGCAAGTACCAAACAGCCTTGCAGGCCCGTGCCTCACCAGGAGCCATCACAGCAAAGACCTCTGCAGCTCCCGACACCCGCTGCACGTACAGCAGATTAAAAGAAAAAATAAGATCACTTTAGCCAGGTGGCCACGGGGTGACAGCTGCCATGATGAGAAGACAGTGTGCCAATGGGGAAAGGTAAAGTAAAAATAGAAGAAATCAGCTCATTCTCCATTTTTTTGATGGCAGTGCTTTCACCTGCAACACAGGCATGTCTGTGCAGGGAGTGTTATGAGACTTGAGGCTGCTCTGGATTTAACAGGCTCTGTTACTAGATAAACTTCCTGTATTTTACCTAGAAAATAACAACACCAACCATGTGTTCTTGCCAGGGAAAGCACTGAGACATCCTGGATCTGTTCAAGATTTAAAGATATAAATCTTTTTCTTAGTATGTAGCTAAATAATGCTCACCAGATATTTCCTATGGTACGATCAGTAGAACTTGAAACACTCCAATGCTTTCAAACATTACATAAAAGAGGAAAAGCTACTTACCTCCTACTTGGGTGTCCCAACGTATGTTTATTCTAAGGAGTGAAGTTGCCATTTCATCTGCAGTCTCATGCTGTCACTTCACAGCTTTCCAGTGAATGCTCTATCTTGTACCACCTGCCACTGCCCCTCTGATGTCTGGACAGAAGGTGGAAGAAAAAAAAGTCAGGTAAATGAGAAGCCTTAGTATACTGTCAAGCACCCCAAGAGCTGGGGAATACCTGCCTGTCAGAGCCAGACAACAGATATTGATCGTTCTCAGCTATTTCTTTCAGATACCTCAGGACAGGGACCTCACTTCCAGGAGCACTGCATTAAACAAAGCTGTAATGAGCAAGTGATTCTATGGAAAGAGATGAAACGCTTCAGCAGAACTGACTGCAGCTATAACCAGTGTCTGGTCCATGGCTAATCTACAGTTCTCTTTCCACTGAAGTCAGCAGAAATACCTCCCATCACATCTAGAGTCCTTAGAAACGCAGCAAGCATTTAAAAATCTGGAGACCTTGCCCATTCTTACAACTGGGCAAGAGTCAGATTTCCACAACACTATTTATGCTGCACAGAAACTTCCTTCCCAGAATTTCCTTTGTTTCCAGCAGACAACTACTAGTAGTATTTCACTACTAGTTCTAGATGCAGCCAGCTACCATCCTATTTAAAAGCCATTCTCTTGGCCACAATCTTCCAACAAAAACAAGAAATGTATTTGATTAGATAACTTAGCTTCTGCAATCATGAAGATAAGATCAGAAAGACAACAACTGAATAAGGACCTGTTTCCTTTCCTGGTATTTTCTGTAGCATGTCAACCCAGCTCAAACTAGTAACACACAAATTAATGCAAACTCACAAAACGTGGAGAATAGTTTCATGACAGAATGGATTTGTGACTTGTTTTGACTTTCCAGGGGATTCTTAAAAGTCTAAAGCCCAGCAATTAAGGAACCTTGCTGGTTCCTTGTTTCCAGCAATTTCTTTAGAAGATGAGTTGTTCAGAAAGCATGGAAAGTATTAAAGTTATCGCTTTGATGTCTTTAATAGAAATTTGGGATGGATTTGAAAGAAACGAGCAAAGTACTGTTATTTCCTTTTGGAAAGGCAGTCTGTCACGACTGGTGCCATTACACAACTGAGCAACCCAATGGCAGTGCACATGCTAGCTCAGAAGCAGGCCGAGGAACTCGCCCTCCTAATCAAGTTTATAGTTGGATGCTGATGTTCTCAGAAAACAAACGTTCATGTTTATTATAGCAGAATGAACAGAATGTACTACAGAGAACATGACTCACTTTTCCATAGGACGTCTGTCTATTCTCTGTGTTTGAACAATGAAACATTGCACCTCTCACTTGTGGTTCGTAGCACAAAGATTTAATGAGTTCATCTCAATGAGCTGTAGACCTGCCACAAAAACTGACTGATTTGCCTAGTGAAAACAAGCGTGCCTTTTGACAAGATGCTCCACACTAGGCCCTCCTCAACCAGCCCAAGAGGCTAGACTCTCTCACAGGTGGTTTTAGTCTTGACTGCATTTTGGAAATGAAAATATGCAGTCAGCTTCAGCAAAACACTGGCTATTTTCCCTTGGGTGGTTGGCTGTCCCGCTGCATCCAAAGCACCCATTCTCCTCTGTACAGTTCATTTTTAAACTGGCTTAAAACCATTCCTTTCTGTAACGAAAGCGTTTATTTTAAAGCAGACTTCATGAAAGAGCCATTTGAAAAATGATCACATTTCTATTTCAAAACATTAAAAAAAAGAGCTGTCTATTATCTCACAGGAAATTCTGATTAAAGCTTTCTTGCGAAAAGTAGGTGTCCTTATAAGACCCTCCCAGAAGAAATTCAAATGAAGGGCAGAAGAGGAAAAAGAGATTTTAAGTAAACAAGTGAGAAGAGCCAGGGAAAACAAGAGCAATGAGCACAGTCTCAGGTGGCTGACTTGGCAGAGCAGGGCGTGAAGGAAGGAAGAGGCTGCGAGACAACGAACCACTGGCGTTTACAGTAGTCGAGGATTCTCCCCAGTTTGTGACTTGAACCACAAATTGCTTAACAATACTGTACATTCCCTTTATTTCTCTTCCAGCCCGTCGTGGGGGTAAATCCCCCTTGAGCAGAGGGTGGCTACAGGGGCATGGGTGATGTTTGTTAAGGACGGTGCTGCTGGAGAGAGGAGAACCTGCAGAGGGGGTATTTCACTGCCTCTTCAGGTTTCAGGAGTCACAATCAGAAAAGACAAGTCAGGCCCTTAGCTGGTGAGCAACAAGTTAAGGACTGAGGGATTGCTCTGTGGCATAGACAGTCACATCCAACAAGAAAAAAAATCTTGAAGGCCTCCATGGACTACAGTGCCAGAAGAGAGTGACGAAATGGAAGAAATGGTGAATGTGTCGCCTTCCAGTGATGGATTCAGGAGAGAAGAGGACCCATCAGCAAAGAGATGGATGTAAGCTGGCAGGACAGAGATCTACTTGTTATGTGGCTTTTTACTAAGCACCATTAGTTACTGCTAAAAACACATTTGAGTCACACTTGCAGAGGAGATCAACCTTGGCAAAGACTCTACAAGTTAGAAAAAAAACACTTCAAGTGAAGAAATTAAATATTCCCCAAGTTAAAGATTGCTTGGTTATAGCTCATCCCTATGGGAATTTTTAGCGAGGCTCTGAACATGCATGGTTTCAGAGTTACTTAAGTACCCTCTTGCAGCCTGAAATGGTAGTTGCAACAACTGAGAAACATAATGACAGAAAAAACAAAACCTAAAATAGTGGTCATTAACATCAGGAAGGGTTTTTTTTGAGGGGGAAGGTGTTATCCTGTGGTTTTCTGTGTTGTCATGAAAAGTGCAGAATGGATGAACAATGCTGTGCATGGCATCACTTTCTCAAGGGCCAACTGTACAATGGTTTCTCCAAACTGCTGTATTTCACCATTGGTGCAGTTCATTAAAAAAAAAAATAATCCTTATACAGCTGGGAATTATAAAGATCTGCAAAAGCCTGTGATGCCAAGGACCTTCATTGGAGGCACACCTACGTTTTGAGTGCTTTGGAAGCTATCCTCTTCCAAAATACTTTTTTATAGATGCTAAAGTGAGGACAAACCTGGCTGCAGTCCATTCCCTATGAAGGATTATATCTTAAAGGGACACACTCTCTCTTAAAATTTCTAGTTCTTCACATGTTTCTTGTTTAAAAAAGACAAAACACAACAACAACAAAAAAAACCACCAGAACAATCCACAATAACAACAACACCAAAAAAACACCAAAAAAACCCCACAACCCTCGTGCCTGTGTCAGTGTCTTAGCAGTATAAATTTAAACATTCCATTGTAAGCTAAGATTATCTTGCTTCTTGCCCACTGAGACATGTGGGTTTGGCTTTATAAGACTCCATAACTGGCCTGCTTGAACCCTGTCCAGTAAGTTTTCATCTAAATTGATTAGGACTTGGAACATATTTTCTTGGACAAATTGTGTACTAATGAATAGAACACTCCCTCACAGCTGTCCTGCCAGAAAGCCAAGATTTTTTCTGTCTAGAAATCATCCCAAAGTGACCCTTAGATAAAGTTCAGAATCCATTTTCATTTTTTAATTAAGAAAAGGTTTGCTTAATTCCATTCCATACATTTCAGTGCTAGGCAGCTGACACCCGATTCCTCCTAAATATGTTATGTTAAAGAATTTGGTTGTGATGTCAGGTCTGCCACAGACAATGCATTTCTAAGCACATTGTTTGTATTAACTGCAGAGCACGAAGATAGCTCCAGCAGAGGTAGAAGTCTCTATGGATGGCACATGGAACAAACTCAAGATTGGCTCTATTCTCTGCACAGTAGTATTTATATATATTACCAATATTACCAACCCCTCACACAGGCACAAGGGATTTCCACAGTGCCCTTCCCTGAGGACACAGCTTCCCTGTAGGCCTTCTCCCACTCAGTAACAAACTGCATAAACTTGCCCTCAATTCCAAAGGTAGTGTGGCTGGGAAATTCTTACATTAATTAACAGCGGCCAAAAGAAGAAGTCATTTCCCCTCCATAAGGGACTCTGGACACTTTTCTAATTCCAAGGCATGAGCTTTCCCCAGTCAGGATGAACACAGCCCTTCCTATTAGCATTCTGCTCCACAGTTCTCCCAGATGCCCCAGCTTGAAACCTCATTAAGCAATCAATTGCTTTATGATCAGCCCATCTGGAATTTTTCTTCTATGACCATTCCCATGGTGCACAAGGAGGACTTAACTCCATCTAGAATACCCATCGGACATCCACAATTACATTGTTTTGCTTATCTTTTAACAAGAGTATTTCTAGGAACCAGAAGTACACTTTGAGGCAAACTGAGATCCTTTCTAGCCTTGCAAAAGACTGACCCATGCACCTATGTGGCAATAACATGCCTTCAAAACGGGTTCAGGATTTTCCTGACACATGCTGCTCAGAAAATAAAGGTGTTCATTTACAATAACGCAAAGGAAAAGGTCTTTCAAGGGAACATGACTGCTCAACTCTTTAAACATCACTTACAGTATTAATCAGACAGGAAACTAAGGCTAAGTTATTTCTACTCTAATCTTAAGTGGAATATGACTCCTGCAACTGCTAACCATACTTGCAGAAGAAATAAGCAGATCATGACAAATTGCTTTGCTACAAAAGTATTGTGGTATTGCTTGTGGAAAACAGGTCATAAGACAACAAAGAAGAATAGGAAGTTCCCTATGCTTTCAAAAGACAGACTCTGCATGCTCACGCTTGCAAGATACACGGTCTGTGGAAAGCTGCCAGCAATCCCATAAAGAAAAATGATAGGTGCTGCAACGATTCTCCAATGCCTTCATGTGAGGCTGGTCCAACCAAATCAGAAAGTTACTTGATGTGGATGATTAGATAAAAAGGGTCTCACCTAACCTTATGCTATTCTCACAGCCAGTTTTAGACAGAAAAAAAAAAAAAAAAAAAAAAAAAATCACACACCTCATATACTGCCCTTGCCATCTTTGCTTGTGGACTAAAACTGACAGCATTGCTTTGAGCTTGTCTTTCTCTTCTGTGTGCTCTCAAACTGGCTCAGTGGAACCTAAATATAACGACAGAATGAACAGAAACAGGAATGCTGACACTGTTGTACTGTATTCTGCAGCCTGCTATTGTTGGAAAATGTGGTCATAATGGGCAGATTATACAAGGTTAAATCCTTCTGAAAGCATACAAAGAAACTGTGATACAATCATCTCAAAGTAGTTATCTTTATACATAACCATGGACTAAGCAACCCAGTGGAGTGCAGCAAGCAAAGTTATGGGCCCAAGGCAAAACAGTGACCAACTGCCAAGAAACATCCTCATTAGTCTTTGTTAGAATTTGTATTTTTAAAGTCATTGTGCAGTTCAATTAAGTTTGTAACACGCAGATGAGAAAGTGGAAAAAAATGCGAAGGCATAGGGAGACGAAATGTTACAGCACTGGAAGATGTCACCTCCTCTGTGAAATGCTTACACTGTGAAAATAAAAAGAGAAGAAAGAACGAGTCATTTCAGGATACGTCTAGAATGAGAGATAAGACCAGAAGATTACAATCTTCTGGTAGTCTTCCACAAAATCTCTCTCTTTGCTTTCTACATGATGCAGTCCGACTGAACGCAAAATCAAAAGGGAACTAAATGGAGAACAGACAAGAAGATGAACAGCAGCCAGAGAAACGCTGGGATTTTAGGACACTATGGCACACCCTAAAACTTGGTTCATATGTTCCCAGAAAACACTCGCAAAGTTCATAGCACTGATCAAGCCTAACTCATCACAGAATGATCAGATCAGGGACATCAGTGGGATAAGCACGCAGAAGACAGAAAGGGAGAGCAGAAGTGAAGTCAACCCATGTGACCACCCGCGCGCTACCAAGTCAGTCACAGGCCTTACGCATTTCTGCACTCTCAGCTTCCCCCTGTTTATCTGTTTTGCAGTGCTGAATGTGAGAGTCATTTTGTGAAGCTATATAAAGCTTTTAAGGAGAGACAGCCAAAAATGTTTAGAGAGAGACAGGCAACCTATTTCTTGAGCTGAAGAAGAGATTTCAGGCCAGATCCCAGATATGACATCCAGGTTAAGTTCCTCTTGCACCGTTCCAGAAGAAAAGAAGACTTCAAGCTGTCTTTGGTAGCAGCTGGAAATTTCCTTTTCCTGGGGAGACCTGCATGTGGCATCAGACAAGACAAAGCTAGACTCATGCTGCCTGCTCTCCATCAACAGTGGGTGCTCCCTGGCTGTCAAGCCACAAGGACAACTGGCATCCAGACCCCTGGGGAAAAGCCAGGCTGGCTGGAATTGCACAAATCACGTGAGCGTTTCCTGCCCTAACTTTACGTAAAGGCCATGACACAGAGACAGCTCTTGCCTCCTTGTTTCCAGCTGCTTTAGTGGACTTCAAAACCAGAGAAAGAGGTGACCTACTGCAAGGGAGTGCTAGAATTTTTGCCCCTCATTCAGCAACCAGAGGACTCTGCCCTAGCTTGTGCTTTATTGCACACGTGGCTGCCCTCATCCTGCTGCATGACTCAAAGGCTGGCATGCAGAAGTCCCCCTTGTGTGCAAGCAGACAGGTAAAAGACAAGTCTCTGACAGCAAGACTAGACATTTCATCACCTTTAACTTTAAAATACTCAGCAATTAACCGGCACCCATTTCATGGAAGTCATGTGGATTGCTGTCATTTTGGAGCAGATCTGGCCCAACACTATTTATTGCTGAATTTTCGTTGCACTCAAAAGACAGCTTTGTCTAGAGACTGGATCCCAAAAAAACCCCCCAAAGAACTGAACACCAACTCCAAGTGCAGTTAGCACTTTGCAAGATCTTGCTAGGGACTGCAGATTTGTACCCTCTGTGGTTAAACTGAGGGACAGAAGGGTTACAGGAAAGGCATATTTGAACTCTCTGTAGCCAGTATATAGCTGTAGGGAATGAGCCAAGATGTCAATGCTAAGGAAGCAAAACAGAGAACCAAGAGAGATGGGGAGTGAAGTAGAAAGCTTAGAGTTATGGATGCGAATTAATGAACCAGCAGTACTGGAAATGGGAACAAGCTGTCAGAACTTCATCTCTTACAAGGGACAAAGAAAAAAAATCTCAATTTCTGATGCTCTTGATGGAAACAGAGTTATGCAAGACTGATACTGTTCACACTGATTTAATTAAGGCTCTGTCAGCACTGTCAAGCTTAATTCGCCTGGTATTTCACATTTATAAAAGTCAGCTATAAAAACGTGCTCTGCTCTAAAAATCAGCATTCTATAAATGGTCCCAGTCCTAGAAGGGTCATCTTTTTGGCACAAGCAGGCTCTTGAGAGCATCCCACTTATGTGCTAAGATATCCCTATCTAACTGAAACGATTACAAGCCTGTATTGCATTCCTTGCCCTCTCCATGCAGTTTAATGGGAACCTGGGGTGTCCAAAGAATGCAGAGTCAAGCTTCCTGGCAGTATCCCATCAAGGAAATTATTTCACAGAATTAATCCCCAATTCTGACACTTCTTGTCATGTTAGATTCAAATCTCTGTATTTGCTGAGCCATGATAAGTGCGGAAAGGCAAGGACTGGACAATGGACTTGCACCACTTGTGAACAATTTTTGGTCAGTTCCCAATGTGGAGAAACAAACTCATCTGGATGCCAGCAGCAGTCCATGGCACAAATGCCAGAAACGCATAGATGAGAGGCTTAGGGACATGGGTTAGTAGGCATGTTAGTGCTGGGTTGATGTTTGAACTAGATGATCATAAACGTCTTTTCCAACCTCCATGATTCTGTGATTCTAAACCTCAGCTACTATCATGTACAGCCCTGCCCAGAAATACCACAGCACCTCCAATATTGACACCTGCAGTTATGGGATGTGCCCTTCATCTAGCCTTAATGGGCAGCAAGTACACACCAGCCAGGAGTCACCAGTAAAATCAGTAAGGTTTCTAGTAGGCTACCTCAGAGAATATTATAGATATGACTCAAATAGAAGCAGTAAAATTAAGACCAATGAGAACAAGCACTCAACACTCCCAGAAAATCCCGTGTTCTGTAATTGTTATTGCTTCATCAGTGACAGGAAAGAGTCGTGTTTTAAAATAGAAATTCACTTAATTGTATTTCCCTTAAGGCACAGAAAATAAGATTCCATGAAGTGTTATCAAGTGTACAACAATAACATGCTCTCCAGACTGAAAATGGTTCAGGAATTTGCATTGTGTTCTCACAAAACATAATTTCTAGCCCAGTTTCCTTCACCTTCTTGAGATAACCAGGCGGATTTCAGCTCAGTGATTACTGAGTTAGACTATATGGGTTGGTCAATGTGTAACAGACGCCCAGCTTCCCACATCTCTCCTTAATGGAGGCTGGTGGATCTACTGCAAGGCTTTAGGTACACAAAAGTATCAAAGGAGTTGCTTGCTTCAATACCTTTGTAGATGCAATTGTTCTCTGCAATGAGGTCTGAGGTTTGAGAGTCTGAGTCAGCCCAGGCGAGGTCAGCAATGCACAGGATTCACATCCTTGTCACTCTTGGGTCACGGTGCACACAGCAGTATAATTCTCAGTACACTAAAAAAAAGGAATATCAAAAGACATAAGAAAATGATGGCCTATATCTCTTTCTGATTATATAAAATGTGTTAAGAACCATCAGCCATGCACTTACATGTGAAATATTATCTTTCTGAAAGCTTGTCATAAACATGGCTCACGCCGCATGGATGGCCATGCATTCCAACTTTTTGTAGCAGGAAGAATATTTCCTAGGGAATAAGGTCAAAATATTAGTATTCAACTGAGTCAGTGTGGACCAAATTAATTAAGTTACTACTCCATCATTGACTTCCATACATGAAATCTGAGAAAGCGGTTGTATCAACAGTACATCAATCCACAGCACTGGTCAGAGAAACAAAAAAAAAATAACCTTCAGTTTCAAAGTTCCATTCAGCCTAGGCACAGAAAGGTTAACTTTTGTTTAAGTAATGCGCCTGAACAGATAATGTTAATTAAATGTTTGCATTCAAATCTCATTACGCAGTGCAGTAAGTTTGCTTTCTACAGAAACACTGTGAGTCCAGTATCGAACAGAAAGCTGGGGGTGCAGACACTAACGAGTCATTTAAAACTAAAAGCAAAGGGAATGCTTGCCATCCCCAGACCACGTGTGCATCTGCCTCTAAGTTTCTTCTCATTCACCAAGTATTTGCAAAAGATCCACTTCTGCTGCTCAAAACTTTTTCAAGCCCAAGAACGACATGGTCAAGTGGATAGAAATTATACTTGGTAAAAACAGAAACCTTGCAGCAGCACCGGGTAAGTCAAATGCAAAATTAGCCCTGATGTGAAGCACAGCAGCTAAATCATCCATCCAGATGGGAAATGTTGACAGTCCCTTAACTGTAGCAGTTCTACTTGCAATACAGAGAGGTGTGCAAGTTGGCTTTGTTAAGCAGACTCTATGGAACTATTTATTCTGTCTGCAAGTATAACAGGAAGTTTATTAAACTTGCGTGTTGCTGGACATAGCACCTGGCTGCTGTGTTTCATACCGGAATGCAGAATTAGACAGTCCAATTCTGTACTGACGTAATGTACTGCCATGCGAAGGATTTCTTTTCGAGCCTAAGACCTCTTTCTCTGACCCTGGGAGCACATTGGATGTTGCACATCCAACTCCTGACAGGAATGCTTCATTTTGCTCTTGAGCAACCACTTCTGAGCAAGCCAGGAGCAGAATCCAGCTCTTCTTGGCTGGAAGAATTGGGATGTCCCAAAATGGAGCTTTTTAACAGATGAGTGAAAAAGCAGAGAGCCCAAAGGACTGTCCCTCTCCAAAGAAAATCATACGAATCAACATGCAAAAATTCCTTTTCGTAAGTAAGCTAGACTTTCTAAGATGGTAAAACAGCTGTGTGCTTTTGGGCTTAGCTCCTCTCCTGCATACCCCTAGATATCAATTTGACTGTCTCAGCAAGGCCCCACAGGACAGAGCAAGGCTTCCGGGTCTGCCTCTGGCAGACACTGAACCAGGTCGATTTTAAAACTTGCCCTAGATTTCTTGTGGGAGATCAGTTCAGCTGGACAACTGCTCCTTGCAGCAGACCTTCCTCCCCTCCCTGTAAGCAGGACACTTATCCTCTGCTGGGCTTGGTGGGGCTGCGGCTTCCTCCCCTGCCAACGCAGTGGGTTACAGCTACCACAGCTGATGGGGACAAGCTGCTGCCACCAACATGCTCTCTCTGTCAGCCTGGGAAGCCACAGATATGACCTGCTTTCTACTCAGGATGACTTAACTGCCTCTGGGATTAGAGGCCCTGGCCCAGGCTGCTATTAGTGGAGTGCAGGATGATGGCTGTGGGCACAGCATTTTAAACATCTGAAGGTCCCACAGGGAATAAAACAATGGCCATCATGAAGCCTTTTGAACTTCACTTGCTGAAGCACCGAGTCTCTCTGAAAATGCATCCGGGAGAACACACAAGGAGCATGAAGCTAGGATCCCCTACTTACGAATGTAAATTATGTGATAGAACTGTTTTCTCCCCTACGTTACTTGTATACCAGAAATAATTAAAATTTAAAATCAATCCCATACAATTTCTCCTTACTCTGATGAAAGTTTTCTCTTGGCAGCAAATAGTGGTGTTTCAAGACTTCTTGTACCACCCTTTCAGCTTGCATTTAAAATTTTGTTGAATTTAGCCACTGCAAATCTAGTTCAAGAAATGACTTGTTTTTAGCTGAAATAGAAAACATACAAGGTTATTTACCCAAAGAATCCCTTCCAGATCTACAGCAGGCCAACTGGACTCAAGCTGTTCACACATAGAGTAATCAGATTTTAAATAGTAAACGTTTTCTATTTTGCTCATGCTTTTATTTATTTATTTATTTTTAAAGTCAGATGACAAATACAACTTCAGAGCATCTAAGAACAACAAAAAGCCCCTTCCCTGACACTTTGCTCTTCACAGCAGCTTGCACAAGGTAATTTAAAGATTAAGATGAAGGAATATTTTGAAACACCAATAGAGGCACACTCATCCAAAGCACATGAATCTTTTTGGCCTATTCTGACCAGAGAAACTAATTGTTATAAACATCTCCAGCAGCCTGGTTATCTCAGGAAATAGAGAATTATACCTTTAAACTCCTAGCTTAATACAGAAATAGGCAAATCCCAGCAGATGCAGAGGCATACGAATATGATAGCCATCCCCCAACGTTCCCCTCATGACACAGTCCTAACTACATTTTAATTATTCAGCCTGCTTTTGCACCTTGTCTGCTTGCTCAGCTTTAGTTATTATCGAACCTCAGCATCACCTCCACAAAGTACCACACAGCATCACAAAACACGCAGTGGCAAGGACCCCAGGATGTCACTGAGCCCAACCTCCTGCTCAAAGGAGCATTCTCAGCTGCTGCTCTGCTCACCAGGAAGTTTAGGCATAAAAACCACAGCAATATTCAAACTACAATCCTGCCTGAGTTGGTGAGCACACCAGGGACCATTTAAATATTCAGAGAACTCAAGAATTGTCTCCTGCGAAGAATGCAGTGGGGAACAGGGGCCTCCAGCTGCACAGAAGTTACCATTGTTTCTTCAAGCCTCTAAACATTGCGAGTTCTTACAAACTGTAAAAATGATCACATTCCAAGCTTTGAAGGGAAAGAAAAGCTAACTAATACCATAATTAAATTTTCTCTGGACTTAACTATCTGTACCTAGTGTTGAAAACATTTGGTACAAGGCAGAAAACGTGCTTGCGTATTTAAACCAGCTTCCAGCATTTTCATTCAAAGTAAGTGAACAGCAGATAATAACTCAGTGTAACAGTGATTATATCTGTTGTCCAGTCAGTATCACAGGATCCAACGCCAGTTGTCTGATCAGTGTAACAGGATCTGGAAAACTACGGGCTTGTCAGGCTGACCTTGGTGCCAGGTATGGTTATGAAGTATATAATCTTGAGGGAGATCACAGGGCACGTGCAGGACAATTGGGGATCAGGCTAGCCAGCACAGGTTCATGAAAAGCAGGTCTTGCCTGACCAACCTCATCTCATTCTATGACCAAGTGACCCACATGGTGGATGAGGGAAAGGCAGCTGATGTAGTCAGTCTATCAGGACTTCAGCAAAGCATTCAACACTGTCTCCCACAACACTTCTCTCCCATGTAACTAGCAGTAGGATGAGAGGGAATGGCCTCAAGCTGCACGAGGGGAGATTCAGGATGGTCGTTAGGAAATACTTCTCTGGAGAGAGTGGTGAGGCACAGGCTGCCCAGGGAGGCGGTGGAGTCACCATCCTTGAAGGTGTTCAAGAAACATTTAAACACTGTACCAAGGGACATGGTTTAGCGAGTAATATTGGTGATAGGTGGACGGTTGGACTGAATGATCTTGGAGGTCTTTTCCAACCTTGGTGATTCTATGATTGTATCTTTTTGCACGATACTTGTTCGTCTGTTTCCTTTCTGGAGAATTAACATTCATCTGTAGGTAACCTATGCTTAGGACAGGAGTTGATGGGATAAGATTGCAAAAGACACTGCTCTTGATGTGTTTGTGCAACCACTTAGATCCTCTGTGGAGGAAGAACTGATACATATTATGTTAACAGTTCTCAACACGTTCCTCACGTAGCTGCAATAGGAGAGCCAAAGAAGACAGATGCCCCCCTGAACAGCCACAGGGAGTCCAAGTGCTAAAAAGCACACTGACTTTAGCACACTCTCATTTTACTCTAATGTTTTGTCACAAAGACCTATGCAATCAGTTCACATGCACAGTGGAAAGATTTTTACAGTAAAAGTTGAGATATTTTCTATATGTTCAATGAAGTTCACTTAAGTGCCTATTTCTCACTGCTAGGTACATGACTGCTTGAGCTGGAAAACTTCCTAGCAAGGTGCAAGTCTTCAGCAGAGAAGTCAGTACTTGTCAGACCATGCAGAGAGCTCACTTTTCAGGCAGGCTTACACTTTCCTCACAACTCCTATGGCATTGCACATGCCTGCAACTACATGCCCCAGAACCTGCTTTTACTCTAAAAAGGCAGAAGATTTTTTCCCCAAGTTTTAACTTTAGCTTTATTTTGAAACCTTCTCCTTTTTTCCTGACTAATGGAGCTCAAGAAGGAACACCTCCCTCAGGTCAAAAGCACGGAAGATGCTTGTGATGATCTGCCAAGATCTTAACAAGGGCGTCCTCAGCACCTCAAAGCTGCACATCAGTGGAATGTGTCCCATATATTAATAATACTTAAACTTCTCTCAACACGCTCAGACACAGTCTTCATGCCAACCCACAGCTCCTGAGGGCAGAATGACAGCATCCACATAGGCTATTAAGCTGAAACACGAGTGTTCATGTTTTTGGCTAATCCCCTCAAGTACTAGGTATTTTGGAATCCCTTTCTCTAAGACCACGAAACTACATATTTTAATCTGAAAGAGATGAGCTGCAACGCTGGCATTAATTGTGAGAACTCTCACTTGTTTATTACCACAGCACTATTGGTATATAGTGAACATATCAGATTCTCAAATGAAATATTTTTTAAGGAAATGGCTCAGACCCATGCAAAACCTCTCCAAGTAAGAACGTTTTTGGGGTGCAGGTGGATTCATTCAAAATATGCCCTGAGAACATTTCTCTGCACTGCCAGGAGTTAGGCCAGTGGGTGCGGACTGTGCTCCTTCTCACTATCCTTGTTGCAGGACATGCCAAGAATGCTGAATCACTTCACCCTGT